TTTCAACGTCATTCTCTGTCAGGGAACACTGACCTCTCAGAGCTACATGCTTGCTTCACAGACTGCACTTCAAGGAGCTCAACTGATAGCCAAGAGCTGCCATGGTTACTCACCATGCCCTGTCAGTGTGACGTATCTAGCCTGAGAGAAACTACGTGACTTATTATGTGTTACCAGAATGGCTCCGTTTTTTATTGTTTACTCAAGAAATGCTATGTGACCCTGAAAATGTAACTTACAGAGTTTTCTGTTGCAGAGAGATTTTTTTCAAGATGAACTAAAAGAGAAGGTTACCGTCAGAAAGTTTTTTTTCTTTATTATTCAGTTCTCGCTGTATTTTTGGATTTTTTTGTATACCCTGAGTTCTGTCTTGGAACAGGCTCTCCAAAGACTGCAAGTCAGGCTGCAAGATTCTCCCAACCACCATATCTGGCTCATTCCTTCCCTTGCCTACTCTTTACATCCTCTCTGGACATGTCCACCGCTGGGACTGGCTCTCAGCATCAGCTGAGAGAGAATTGACTTTGGTAGAAAATAAATTACAGGGCACACATGTAATTTGTTTCCAGAACTGGACTGTATTCTAGTTATTTTACCTTCTATGCATTCTCTGTCAGGAATTTTAATGCAAAGAGAAGATAATACTGCAGAATGGATATTTTTCCATGCAGGCAGAGAGAAAAAGTGAAGATCTAGTAAAAAAGGTTTTTGATTTGATTATAAAAGGAAAATTGGGACTTTATCAATTAGCAGGAATAGACTCGACAGAAATTGTAGTACCTTTTGCTAATGCTGAAATTTCCTCATGTGGAAAGAAAATGAACATTGGCAAAGAGATTGCAGTAAATTTTTGGTAGAGATTAACAACAAATATCCTAAAAGAAAGATAATTCAGTTTATAAAGAGAACTAACTAGATCCTTCCTCACATTCCACAAGGAACAGCAATATCTGGAGTTAAAACATTCTATATTTGTGTTGATATATTCTTTATGATTTAATGAAGATTGCCTCAAGTATCAGAAAGCAAAGCCAGTCATACTTGTTAGCTGTAGAAGCTAGGTAGTATAGGCATACATATTTAATCCCAGGACTCAGGAAACAGGCAAATGGATCTCTCTGAGTTCAAGGCTACCCTGGCCTACATAAGAGTGAAGAGTAACAGAGCTCATGCCTTTGATCCTAGCACTTGGGATCATGTGCCTTTGATGCCAGCACTAGGGAGGTGGAACAGGAGAATGTGGCTGGGCAGAGAATGGAATATAAGGAGGAGGAGACAGGAATCCAGAGGTTTTGCCTCTGAGCATTCATGTAGATAGGATTGCCATTTCAGCTTGGTAGCATTAAGATCTACTGGCTTTGCTGCTTTGTTTCTCTGGTCTTCAGCTTGAAGCTTGAACCCCAATATCAGTCTCTGGGTCTTTTATTTTTCATGTTACATGTATTGATGCAAACAAATCAGGAAAGGCAGGTTGTTAAGTCAGGAAATTTATGGAAAGTGACTCAAAGTCCTTATGATTCTGTTCAAAAGTCAGAATTATATGCTATTCTCCTGGAATTGCTAAATTTTTCTGGGAACTCTTAAAATAGTTACTGACTCTCAATATACAGAACTAGTTATTTTACATATTGAAACTTCTGAATTTATTCCAGATGATTCAGAAATGGCTTTGTTACTTGTTCAATTACAAGAGATAATCATAAATAGAAAACCACCCTTTATGTACAATACACATCAGATCCCATATGTGTCTACCAGGTCCTTTAGCACAAAGTAATGATGAAGTTGAGCAACTACTGGTAGGAAATGTGTTGGAGGCCTCAGAACATCATAAGAAATGTTATGTCAATACCAATGGTTTGAACAAAAAAGAGTTTCCCATTACTTGGCAACAAGCCAAGGAGGTCTTAAGGAAATGTCCTACTTATTATTTCTCAACCCAGTATACTCAAAGAAATAAAATCTGGCAGATGAATGTGTTTCATTTTGTAGAATTTAAAAAATTAAAATATGTAAGCCCACCACTGATACATATTAGGATTTGAATGTGGGCAACTGCTTTGAGTTCAGAAAAGGCTGATTCTGTTATTATACATTTGTTAGAAGTGACAGTCATCATGGTGATACCTGCACAAATAAAGACAATGCTCCAGCAAATGTCTATAGTGAAATGAAACAGATTTTTGCATGTTACACTACAAGGCATATTAAATGTATACCACACAATTCTACAGGGCAAGGAATTATAGAAAGTTCTAGTAGAACCCTAAAAGGTATGTTTAATAAACAGAAAGGGATAATAAAGTTCCCCAGAGATAGATTGAACAATGATTTATTAACTTTAAATTATATAAATGCTAATGAAAAAGGAATGACAGCTGTGAAAAGACATTGGATAATAGAAAAAAACTGCTGAATTAAATCAGCCTGTATAATTTAAAGATGTGTTGACTTCAGAATGGAAACCAGGATACATATTAGTTGTGGAAGAGGTTTTGCTTTTGTTACCTCAGGAAAAAAAAGCAATGGATACTATCAAAATTGATAAAGAGTTGATTCATACAGTAGATACCTCTTATTAAAAGAGGTGATAGTTCCTCCAAAACAATACAGAGAAACCCTGTCTTGTAAAAACCAAAAAAAAGAGGTGATAGTTGATTAAACAGTATAACCATTCAATAAAAACTAACTTATAAGTCAAACAAATGCTTTTAATTTGGTCAGACATGACTTGCCAAAAGTGAACCTCGCCAAAATTAGGATTGGGGCAGATTTCCCTTTGTCTTTTCAAGTTAATAAAGGCATCCAGCTAAGGAATCTGACGACCACTGGAGAAATGAGACATCTGGAAAAAAGGAAAAATCATCCAGAAAAAAAAAACTGTCCTAAGAAAAAGAGTAAATTGGCCTATTGGTATATCACATTTCCAATGACATAGAATTTCATAAATCTTCCCAAATATTTGTTTCTGCTGCTCTCTACAGGCATATAATGCAAATGGAATTTTTGTATTCCCAGTTCAGTTACAAAGTACAGCTGGCTTTGGAATTGGACTGTGAGTCTCTCCTTTAAATCTAAGCATGCTTGTTAAAGAAAAATCCAAAATCTCTGTCTCATGTCAAAAATTGACACATGGTAAGCTGGGTGTTGGTGGCACATGCCTTTAATCCCAGCACTCAGGAGGCAGAGGAAGGCGGATCTCTGTGAGTTCGAGGTCAGCCTGGTCTACAGAGTGAGTTCCAGGACAGCCTCCAAAACAATACAGAGAAACCCTGTCTCTGAAAAACAAAAGCAAGCAAAAAAATACAAAACAAAAAATAGAGACACATGGTATGGAAGAGGAGAAAAACAAAAATTAAGAGACTTTTCTATCACCACTAAGCTCATAGTTTTTTGTTTCATTTTGACTCTTTAAACTGTTTTAAGGTATCAATATTATCTCAAAAGTTATAATATATATATATATATATAACATATACTTTTTCAGAGTCCACTAAAGATGTTGGTACCTCCAGAATATAGGAAATAACTTTAAGAATACGACAGCCACATTCCAGAGGTGGGGTAGGAAGTTTCTAGTTGATCACTGGGTTATGTATATTTGTCATTGTTTATGGAGGAGTTGTTATTGGTAATGGTCTGGAAAAAATCTGAAAAATTCCAAAAGTTAGTAACTGGGCAGGAAACTGCCCTTGCCTTGACTGCTGACATTATGCTGCCCAAAATGGACAAGCAGGACACAAAATAAAATGGCTGCTGAACTTTGCCAAGACAAAAAACACTGCTGAGCTTTGCCAAGACAAGGCCTAACAGTCCTTAAAAATTGCTGCTTCACAGGAATGTCTGCCAGATATTCTGCACCTGCAGGCCTAAGATGGATGCCCCAACATTACAGACGAATCTTAGGTGACTGTCAAGACAGCCAGCTGTTTCTGTTATTTCTTAGTTTTAGAAGATGTTTACTCTGTACTTCCTCTTTACTCAGGTCTCTGATAGAGATGAATACTAGACAGTTACAGTTATAATTTTCCTTGTTAATGAATTCAGAAAAGAAATTCACAAAAGAGGTATAATATATATTATATTGAAAGACATAAAAAGACACTTTGGGGTTTGAAATACAAATTAGGACATAAATTGAATTAGGCATAACACTTTGGATTCAACAAGATAGAATAGATAATGGAGTATTTTTTCTGAATTTGTCAAATGCAAATGGACTGGACATTGTTAATATTCTTACCTGTATATATTTGTATATATTCATTGTACTTATTGCATACAGCTTTACAATTAGTTAAACCTTCATATTATATTTAGATAAAAGGGGAAATGCATGATATTTTGATTGTGTTCTGACAAAGCTTGCTTGGAGTCAGTGGGCAGAGCTAGCAACTAGTTAATCAAAATTAACCATAGGCGTTTGGAGGACTGTAGACAGATAGACAGGAAGTAGTAATGTAAGCCTGAAAGAGGATCTTGGCCCTTTTGAAGGAAGGAATGGAAAAGGTAGGAGGTGACTGGTGGCTATTCCCCTGCTTCTCTGATCTTTCAGGTTCTTACCCTGGTATTTGAGGACCAACACACACACACACACACACACACACACACACACACACACACACACACACACACACACATATTCTGCCCCTGATTCAAACAATTCCACAGTGTGGATAATGCTTATGTTTATCACCAACCATGATTGTGGCGGGTGGGGGGGGCAGTGCATGGGCACAGGTTTCTGTCACACCTCCTAAGACAAAACCCTGGTCCCATCAGGAACATATAGGAAAGACACCCCTTCCCAAACTGAGTACCCCAAAGGCACACCTGCAAGCTTATTTTCCAGAGACCTTCCTATTGGTGCTCTCACAATGGGTGGGTGTGGCCAAATGCCTCCATCCAGTGCCTCTCATTGGCTGGAGCAGTGATGTAAGCACCCCATTGACTCTTATTGGCTGGGAATTGGGAAGAGACAGAGTCTTCCGGGGCAGGGAGCTAGAGGGGAAGCTGCCAGCAGCGAGGCAGGTGTCCTCTCCCTGGCTCTCCTGAGGGCCGCCTTTAGCTGTTCACTAATATCTCACAGAGGCAGGGGAGGATAACCGGGCCACATCCTGAGAGTTAGAAAAGCTGGCCTGGTGATTCATCTGTGAGCCTCAGCGTTGCGCAGGCTGGTGGCAAAACCACCATGATGAATCTTCTACGCCTAATTTCAGCTATCTTTCGGAGGAGGACGGAGTCTGAAGAAACACTGCAGGAACAACCTCAAGGTATGCTCTGGGAGTCAGTCCCTATGTCCCCACTGAAGGAGACTCCTCAGAAAGTGTATCCTCCACCGCAAGGCAACAAACGGGGGAGGGGCCTGCCACCATCCTGAGCATGAGGGTGTCCCTGAGTCCCCCAGAGTTAGACCAGCACTGAAATGTGCCTCAAGCTGCCTTGGTGGACCAAAGCAGAAGGGTGTTTGGGTCAACTCAAAGAACACGTGACACAAGACTTTGTGGGCTGTACTGTCTCTGCCTTCCCTTACAAGATGCCTTTGGTATTCCCCAGAGAAGGAGACCGTCTCACTTTGAGAGTGAATTTGGCCTTGTTTCCCACGCACACATGTGTCTGAAGCCAGGAGGCAGAGTCAGTCGTAAGGAGGGCACCATAGAGGAAGGTGGCCAGTTGTCCCAGCAGGATCCTGGAGCCAGATCCTGAAACATTGCTTACCCTTAATGCTTATGGAGAATAAAAGACCACTTGCAAAATGTCCTCACGTCTATCTGCACATCTCGTCGAATGCTCTGTCAGAATGTAGAACCATGGCTATGCGTTGCTACTGACGACGAGGCAGGCATACGCCAGGAATAATGAGGGTTAAAAGAGGCTTCCTGAGCAGGTATGAGGAGCGCAGCACTCTTACTGGGACAGGTCACCTACAGACGCCATGGAGGCATAGTGACAACCTTAGTGTGGAGAAATAGTTATTAGGTCAGGGAAGTGATGATGCGTGCTTACATCTACACAGGCGGTTAGAATAGGATTTCTGTGTAGTGTGGCTCATTGCATTTGACAATGTGAACTTCATTTCCCTGTGTCATAGATAACTCCAAGCTGAAGTCTATCCAGGGAATTGTGACCCATCTCTGTACCGATTATGGCTGGATTAATGAGACTATCTTTTTCAATACTGAAGTGGTGTGTGGTACGGTGCCAGTGGACATTGGGACAAATGTTATTGCTCTTGTGGAAGAAAACGAAATATCTCATGTACTGAAAGCAATCAAGGTATGGCAGGGCTTACTCAAAGTCTCTTGGGTATTATTTTTCTGTTGCTATGATAAAATATCATGATGAGAACAACTTAAGGACTTTTGTTTATTTGGGCTTATGGTTCTAGAAGATGAGTCATCGTGGCAGGGAAGTATGGTAGCAGCAACAGCAGGTATGTTGACAGAAGCAGGAAGCTGAGAGCTCACCGTCACATGCAGTCTTAACGCAAAGAGACACATATAGAAAGTTGACGGTCTCTAAATTTTCAACCTTCTTCCAATAAACTTACACCTTCTAAACTTCCCCAAACAGTAAGTCACTATAGCTGGGAACCAAGTTTTCAAACATCTAGCCTTTTGGGGACATTATCACTCAAACTACTATACTCGATGGGAGTGGTGGTGCATGGCATTAGTCCTTGGACTCAGGAAGCAGAGGCAGGAACTTTTCTGAGTTCAAGGCCAGCCTGCTCTATACAGTGTTTTCCAGGCCAGCCAGAGTTGCCTGATGAAAACACAATTTTAGAAAAGTTTCAGATAAGAGAAAGGAGGAGTGGAGGGGAGGGAGCAATAGGGAGGAGGAGAAGGAGGTAATGGAAACTGCATTCAGGTTGTAATATATGAGAGGAAAAATGTAAAATGCAATACTATTATGCATTTTAGTAACACTGATCAAATTACATTGTAAATATAAATAAAAAATAAAAGGTGTACAGTTTCTTGCTGAAAGTAGCTAAAGAGTTTCCTTGCTTTCTTTTTTTAAGAGTATAAACTTAATAATCTTAGAACTTGCATGTATAAACAAAATTTTAACCAAAAAAGATTCAGACAATAATGATGTGTAGTCAAAGTTGACATCCCACTTCTCTGAGTTTAGTAGATTTGATGTTAAAACATTTGAATGCAGGGATGCTTATTCTGTTTCTAAATTTTTTGTCAGCTCTCTTAACATTTGAACATGTAAATGATTCTGCATGATCCTGCAACTGGCATCATATAGTGACCAGACATTTTCTATTCAATATCCAAACAGAATTAGTATGACAAAGATGCCCTGTTCATACTATTTTCTATGTCAAAGAATGTGTTTATTTTTAGATCTATTTTTACTATTTTATGTGTATGAGTGTTTTGCCTGCATGTGCATCTGTGGACCACATGTGTTCCTGATGTTTGAGGAGGTGGTAAGCCTCCATATGGGTTCACTTCAATTCAACTATTGACACATTGAGGCTATTGTCAAATTATTCTAAGTTATATTTTGCCAATTGAGATTCTCAACAGCAGGCCATAGATCTCTTATGCTGGCATACTATTATTATTATTGTAAAATCATGGTAAAACTGAAAACAGAGAAGCAAGGTCCTGATCTTATTTTGAATTTTTAACTCCTAATAGTAAAGTTATAATTTGTACTGCTTGTTCTTCTCACACAGTAGATCCACCATAGGTCTTTCCACATTGGTAAAATATATATTTATTAGGAAAATAGGATGTGTTGTCTTAGTAATTTTTCTAAAACTTACAGTTTTTGCTTTCTGAATGTCTTTAAAATATCAATTATGTCATTACTGCACTCTGTCAGGAACATAGGCCAACACTCTTGTGTTTTTCACAATGTCAGAATTTATTGAATAACAGTAAATTCATAAGGCACAGTGGTTTCAACAGCAGGACTTTGCAAGAAAATCCTGCTTATTTTGGTAATCTAGACAAGATTACACAAGTTTTACTTCATTTTAATCTTAATTACTATTCCTAATTCTCATATAATATACCACAGTCAATACATAAATACACAGAAAATACAGGTTACATAATGAATACAAATGGTTAAAGAGGTTACAGCAGAATTTCAGGAGGTTTCAAGAGGCATGAAAAAATGTAAATAGAGTAGGGTCCCCTATGCAGGCAAAAGAGTCAGAGACAGCCCCTGTTCCCATTGTCAGGGGCCCCATAAGAAGACCAAGCTACCCAGCTGTAACACACATGCAGAATGCCTAGGTCAGTCCCAGGCGGGCTCCCTGGTTGTCAGTTTATTCTCTGTGAGCTCCTATGAGTCCAGGTTAATTGATTCTGTGAGTTTTCTTTTGGTGTCCTTGACCTTTCTGGCTCCTACACTCCTTTCTCCCCTTCTGCAGGATTCCCTTAGCTTTGCCTAATGTTTGGCTGTGGGTCTCTGCATCTGTTTCCATCAGTTGCTGCATGAAGCCTCTCTGATGACAAATGGACTAGGCGCCAATCTGGTCACAGGAGATGACCAGTTCAAGCTACTTAACTGCTATTGCAAGGAGATTCCTGGGAGATTCTCTTCTGCCAGGTTTTTACCTGACCCTGAAATGCCCCTACACCCTACCCCAGCTTCCCAGTAGTGTCTTTCAGTGTAAATGTACCACATTTTCTTTATCCATTCCTTGGTTGAGGGACATCTAGTTTCCTTCCAGTTTCTGGCTATTATGAATAAAGCTGCTATGAGCATGACTAAGCAAGTATCCTTGTGGTAGGATGGAGCATCCTTCGGGTATATGCTGAAAAATGATATAGATTGGTCTTGAGGTAGATGGATTCCCAGTTCTCTAAGAAATTGCCACGGTGATTTCCAAAGTGGCTGTATAAGTTTGCACTCCCACCAGTAGTGGAGGAGTGTTCCTCTCTCCACATCCTCTCCAGCATAAGCTGTCATTGGTGTTTTTGGTCTTAGTCATTCTGACAGAAGTAAGATGGTATCTCAGAGTTGTTTTGATTTGCATTTTCCTGATGGCTAAGGATGTTGAGCACCTTAAGTGTTTCCTGGCCACTTGAAATTCTTCAGATGAGAATTTTCTATTTAGATCTGTACCTTGTTTTTTTTTTTAACTGGGTGATTATTTGGTTTGTTGGTACCTAGTTTCTTCAGTTCTTTACATATTTTGGAAAACAGCCTCTGTCTGATGTGACATTAGTGAAGATCTTTTCCCATTCTGCAGGCTGCAATTTTGTTCTATTGATGGTGTCCTTTGCCTTACAGAAACTTTTAAATTTCATAAGATCCCTTCCCGGACGGTGGTGGCACATGCCTTTAATCCCAGCACTCGGGAGGCAGAGGCAGGTGGATTGCTGTGAGTTCATGGCTGGGCTGGACCAACAGCCTCCAAAACAATACAGAGAAATCCTGTCTCGTAAAACCAAAAAGAATCATAAGATCCCATTTATTAATTGGTTTTCTAGGTGCCTGCTTGATTGGTGTTCTGTTCAGGAAAATGTCACCTGTGCCAATGCGTTCGAGATTTTTTTCCCACTTTCTCTTCTGATGCCTTGTCCAGCCTTAATACATGGAGAGGTGCTTAGTCGTACTGTACTTGCTATAGCATGTTTTGTTAATACTCATGGAAGACCTGCCCTTTCCTAAACAGGATTGGGGGAGCGGACAGAGGAGGGGAGGGGAGGGTCTGGGAGGAAAGAAGGGAGGGGAAACTGCAGTCAGGGTGTAAAATAAAAAGTTAAATAAATTTATTGTTTAAAAAATATAAACAAAAATGTCAAAACAGGCTTTATTGATAAGATTAGAAACTGGAACAGGCTGTACTGAAGAAGCCACTTCTGTAGAGTAAGGTATTGTGGGCCTTTGAGTTTTCATCAAAAACACAGACAATGTCCAGAGACAGAAGCAAAGAGCAGGAGTTTCTCCAAGTTCAAGAATGGGTGGACTGGTTGAATGAGGGGCACAGGGTAATCAGGAGGGCTGGAAAGGAAGATAAGTAGGCATTATCAACAGCAAGGACTGAGCTCAGCTGAAGATGTAGGGACTTTCTCTGTTTGTCCATGTCAGGCCTTGGCTAACCCGTCAAGTGTCAGATAATAGGTCAGTGGGGGCCATTGTTATCAAAGGGATAGGTGTCAACTTTTGGATGTGGTTCACATGGAGGGAGTTGCACCTTTGCCTTGGTCTGGTGTGTGTGATAAGTTCTTAGGCCTGGTTTTCCTTCTAGTTTTTTCTGATGGGAGTTATTTCTCCCATGTCATCTTCTACATCCATACATGGGTCCAGTCAGGGAATGACATGCTCTCCTTCCTTGTTGCCCAAAATTGTGCTGCTCATTCTTTCCCTGTCGACTTTATTCTGCTCCACGCCCATCTCCTAGGTAACTCATTTCTCTTCCTTCACACACATTGCAAAGCACGTTTCCTCAAATTACCCCACCAATGTCACTCGGTCTGAAAATTTTCTGTGTAAATGTGCAAAAATGTTTTCTAATTAGAGTTACAGCCGTGAGTAAAACTTGTTTAGAAGTAGGTTTTAAAAATGTTTTACACTATTGGGGTTTTGAGTTCCTAGAAAGCAAGAGCATTGTATTTCTAAGATCAGAAGGTAAGTTTGTGAGAGCATTCAAGGCACTAGCCAATCCATGGAACAAGCACATCCACAATTGATGCCATCACCACAGGTCCATGATGTATCTTCAATGGGAATGTATGGTCTAGGTTTGAGAACAGTTGTTCAAAAGATTTCTGCTACAGGAGGGCTATTTTGGCACAAACAATGAAATACATTGTCTCACACAAAGAGCCCTATGCCCTGCAAGAACCCTTACATCCATGTTAGGTAAACACATCAAAATGCTGTTGTGGTTTTGATGGGGAATTCTTGGTAAGTGTACAAACTCCTGCCTGTAAGTTTTCCTTTACCTTTAGCTACTGTCTCCTTCTCTTGTAGGTGAAACCCATGACTAATTCTATTTGTGTTGCTGAGATACCAGACATCAACAGAAGACTTTGTATTAGGTGTGTCACTTCAGTAACACAAGACAACATCTATATTAGTCAGGAAACTTGTTTCCCTGTCCAGCTGTTTTCAGGAGGTAAGAGTTACAGTTTTGAAGGGCATAGATCAAGAGTGTAGGAAGTGTTCTTGAAACTGAATGTGAGGTACAATAAAGGGAAAAATGGGAAAAACTTTAAATATTGCCTAGTGATCCTGTCCCCCATGAATGCTGTCATCATGTGTCCATGAGGTTTTCACTACTCAGTTGATTTCTTTGGCTGCTTTGTTTTTTCATATAGGGTTCCTGAAACTCACTATGTTCCTGAGAACTGTTCATGGCCTTAGGAAACCCATCCGTTACCCTTCTGAGTGCTGGGAGCTTAAACTTTGTGTCTCTGCATCAGGACATGCAAAATATAGTCAACAATAGCATCACACAAGTATAAGAGTTTATCTAGAAAATACCTCCATCACTACAAAGCAAAGGTGCAGATAGGGCTCTCTCTGTTTCTATGTCCTCATTCCAGAATATTCAACAGATAGGTTCTCATATTTTGTCCCTAGCCTAGCTACTGAGGATCAAGCATGTGATCCTATTGTGTACCTGCCTGCCGTCACCAAAGGAAATATCAAAATGTCCACTAGATGAGAAAATAAGATGCTCCTAGCCATAAGTTTCCCTCTGAGTCACACAGTTTTTAGTTATCCTTGTCTGATGAATAAATCATTGTAGAAAAACCAGTGTTTAAAGGGCTTTGGGTTTCTTTCCTTTAGGAAGATATTTGAGATACCTGTCTAAGTATTTACATTCAGTAAATGTTGGTCAGCATATTGCAATGATGAAGGATCTTAGGTAATGTGACAAGACCTGAGTGTAATAATATTTACACTGCTAATTTTCTTGGCTGTTTTAGGATTTAAGCCTTTCAAAGGAGATTTGTTGCTGGTTGAGTATTCCATGAAGCCGGGCACTTCAGATATGACCATTCACTCTGTGAGCCCCCTGAACTTGCAGAATATGGATGAGGTAATAGCTTCCATGTTGTCCTTGCCATGGGTTCACAGCTGTCTATCCTTTTTGATCGCTTTTTTAGCCCAGGAGTGTCTTTGGTATGTTTAGCAGAATATCCCCTGCCAAAGTGGACACATTCACTGATTGAAAAGGAAACTGGCAGAAAATAAAGTAGAATACACACATACTTAATTCCTAGGTTGTGTGCTTTACTTGAAGTTAGGATGTTCTGTGGACGACAGTCACAAAGTATCGTGGCTGTGAGGCAATTGTGGGGAAACTTTGAGTGCCCTGGATTTGGGGTGTTCAGCCTGCTGATGGGGGAAGGGGGGAGTAAGACCTTGGTTAGGACAGCCTGAGAATGAGATGTAAAGTCAGGGAGGGAGAGTGTGTGGCCATATTGGGTAGCAGGAAGGGTACATCCTCTCATCACACAGGAGGGAGAGTGTGTGGCCATATTGAAGAGCATGTAGGTACATCCTCTTATCAGTCACCCAGGGCTTGTGTTTTTTCTCTGCTTTAATGGGAGAGGGGTAAAATGGAGACTCGGATGTGTTGACACACTTCCCCTGTGTCAAGGATGAGAATCAGTGATGGGGCGAGGGACCTGCTGATTACAGCCAAGGGGTTGTTGGGGGCCCTCTGTGGTGGGTTGTGTTTCTCCATACTCATTGCCTTCATTTCCCTTCATAGGTCTGTGTGACCAGCATTGAAGGTAGAACTGGTGTGGTGGAATCCAACATCTATTTCACCTTGGATTCTCTCCAGAAGCCTACTGAGTATACACCAGGGCTCTATGACATTGTGAATGTGGTCGCCGTGGACAGCATTCAGCCACACTGTTCTTGGAGAGCAGTATCAATGATCCCAGTGGAAATGTGTGTTGACTAAGCCTTGTAATCAGTTCTCATTTCCAAGGTTCTGGTTTAATAAAGTAATATGAGCATGGAAACCAAAGATATATGAACTATGACTCTTCTTTCGAACATCCTGGTAATTTCATTAGCAACACGAACTTACTTTAGGAAGGTACCATGTTAATTCAAAAACATATCTTATTGGTATGCGATTTTAACAAAGAAACAGCCCTGCCTTCAGGGCAAATCCTTTTCCACAGGCAGGAGCAGATTCTGTGCTGCCAGTGGCCTTGTGGGCCATTAAGCAGCATGGAGAAGCAAAGCATTTAACTCAAGATTCTGGGAGTGAGCAGGCGAATGTGACCGGGTATGACTTAGCATTACAGCTTGTCTTCTAGTCTGAGTGTCCTTATGCAATTCCAATTTTTACTTCTCTACAATATCTTTCATTTCCTACTAGCTATTCCATTTGTCAAACTTAGTGTTTATCTGTGGATCCTCCTCCTATGGTAGTACGCAAAATAAACCAGTGCAGAAAAATGACAGACCAGACTTAGTTCTACTTCAAGCATAAAGATGAGAGTAGACTCTTATTAGTCTGAGAATTGGTGCCCCCAAAATGCTTTGTAAACTGTGGAGGGCATTCTGTGGAGTTGATTGGCCCTCCTTCAACATTTTCCAGTCTTCAGAAAGAATCCTGGACCTGTCCAACATTTGCAGAACGAGGCCACCCCAACCAGTTTCCTTACATCAATACATGGTATAGTCTGGCCCTCTACCCACAAGACAGGGTTCAATTCTACGCCTCTTGGGTATTCACTGCAGTCTTGATCTCTAAGAGAGTTCCAACCACCAAAAAGCCACCTGTCTTCCAGGCAGAGTATCAAGATTTGGAACTTTCACCATCCACCCTTCTTCCTGAGTGTGGCCATTCCCATGCTCAGAATCCAGAACCCAAAGCTCCAATGTCTGCTTTATACCCTGACTTACCATCTCATTGCTCATTCCATAGCTGCTATTGGCCCCTTTGCTCACAAACCACTGGAGGATATCTCCCACCTCAGTATGTTTAAGGTAGTGGTTTCTTCAAGGTTTCCCAGCACCCAGACATCGAGTGCCCTGATCCTGTTGTGCCAAACTGTGTGGTCAGCTAACCTCCAAGAGGACAGGATTCTCAGACCAGACCCAGCTCAATATGTTTATCAGGCATTCACTACTACTGATATCCTGAACTAGTGACATCACAACCCACCATACTTAGAGCAGCTACAAGTTATGATCAGCCTTGTGACTGCCATTATGCACAGCCACCAGCTTACTTGGGACAACTGCCCTCAACTCCTGACTGAGCTTTTTACCTCAAGGTAAAGAGTGTAGGGTCTATTAGGCAGCACCACAAACACTAGTAACTTGAAGTGATTTGCTGACACCTTCCTCCCTGATGAGTGTCTCAAATGTAACCCCAACATACCAGTGTTTCTCCTGGCCCTTCTAAGAATGATGGAAGTCATGCTGGAGGAGTTCAGAATGAAGATTATGGAGTCATAATCTTAATCAAAATAAGAGAAGTCACCCAGTGCTCTGATGAATCCCTGAATTGATTCTATGACCAGCTCTTGACACTTAAAGACAGTATACCCCTTTTGACCCAGAGGCCATTGTGCTCTGGACAATGGTCAACACAGCTTTTGCCCAACAGTTGGTGCCAGATGGTCACTGGAAGCTTCAAAAGCTAGACAGGGCCACAGGAATGAATATTGAGCCACTTATAGACATCACCATCAAAGTAGCTGCTAACTGGGAAGAAGCTGCAAAAAAAAGGAAAGGAAAATTACTTAGAAAAAATACAAAAATGATAGCATTCACATTGGATACTGAAGAAAATTCAGACACCCAGAAGCCCAAATGAAGGGACGATAACCAGAGGTCATTCATTAGACAGAGACTAATGTGCCTACTGCACGGAAGAATAATAATAGAAGAATGAATGATGGCCTTCTCTGGCACTAATGCTGTCGGTGCAACTGTGCTCAGGATTCAACATGCCCACATAGCCAGCTGTCCAACCAAATTAAGGAGGACCTCAGTCTAGCCTAACAGAGTCGCCCAGCAGAAGCAGTTAGACCCCCTGGAAGCCATGGTCTTACAAAATTATAGAGGGCTAGAGCTAACTGCAGTTTTGAAAGGGTGGCATGTGCGTCTCCTTGGAAGAAGAATGTTGTTTCTATGCAAATTAATCAGGGATAGTAAAAATATTATTAGGCAATTGCTACATAACATAGATTGCTAGATAATTGTTAGAATAAATCAAGGCTAAAGACAAGACCAAAAGATCTTACCAGGGGTGAGACCTGGGACTCTGGAGCCCCTGGCTGGCTTCCCTAGTGGAACCTTTGATTATTATTCTCCTGGCTCTACTGTTTGGGCCACACCTTGGAAATCTTCTAACTTGCATCAACAGAAACAGTATATAAGTGGTTAGACTCCAGTTCTTCCACCAATATCAGAGGATTCCTTTAGAAGGGTCATAAGAGATTGTGACAAAGAAGATGAGGGAATGTGGTAGAAAACCCCCAAAGAAGATTCCCCAATGCTAAGAAAGTTCCCCTGAACTGACCCTGCTGCTCTTGCAGTATCTTCAAGGATGATAGGTATAATGAAATTTGAATCCTGTCCAGCCACCATCACTTATAGCCACATACATGCTTTTGTACTTGGACTTCCTGTTTGCTGGATTCTCATCTCCCAAACATAAAGGGTGTCTGAACCTGAGGCGAGAGGCCTACTCCATTACATGTTGCTATAGTAAACTTCCCTCTCCCCAACTGAAAATAGCTTGATGATTAAATTTCCCAGAAATACCTGCAACCATTGGTTAACTATATGAAGGTTAAAAGCAATTGGTTATTTTTCTGATAGCAGACATGAAAATTAAGTCAAGGTGAACAAAAACAAAAAATAAAAACCATCTTAATCCTTACTGTATTATGATAAATAAAAAGACACAGGGTCCAGATATTGGGGTTCAAGCTTCAGGCTGAAGATCAGAAAAGCAAAGCAGCCAGCCACTAGCTCTTATCTCTACCTCAGCTCAGAGGGGCAATCCTCAGATTGCTACCAAATTCACTGTTCCTCAGATTCACTCAGACTGCTGTGCTCTCCTCCATTAGGTTGGAAACTCAATTCTACCTATCCTCAATGTGGCTGGAGAATAAATGTGAGCTTTGAGACCCTACTCTTGTCTTAAATACCTTTCATGGGTCTTGGGATTAAGGTCACATGGTCCCAAGTGCTGAGATCATCTTTGTGTGAGCTGTTTCTCTGTAAGACTGAATATATTTCTTGTTGCTTACTGTGGCCTTGAACTAACAGAGATCTGTCTACCTCTGCATCCCAAGTGGTGGGATTAAAGGTGTGTGCCACCACTACATGGCTTCTATAGCTTGTGGCTGACTTTGCTTTCTGAATCCTCAGTCAAGCTTTAATAAATCATAAATAATATATCACTACAGGAGTGTAGGAGGAAGTCTGATGCCACCATTAAACATGTGACTTATTAGAGGCGCATACAGATGAGGTAATAAAAGGGCGATTTACCACACCGCTAACCACACCCACTTTAGGCAGGACTAAAGACGTATACGGCTGGACGTAAAGACGTATACGTACGTAGGCGGAACTACGTCACTAGCCATACGGGGGAAGGCATAAAAGACAGCACACAGGAAGTCTCAGTCTCTTTTCCTGGAGTTCGGCTTCTGGTCCGGCCGCTGAAACTGTTTGGCTCCTCTGGGTTTGGTATCTTGTGAGCAATTTCTACATTAAATACTTAGCTTTACTTTCAGTAATTGTGTGTCGCGTATCGTTACAGCGTCCATTAAAGACTACACAGGAGAATATTTTATTTTATTTATTTTGTTGAAATAGATTCTTTGTGGTCAAGACCAAGATGACTGGGAAACTCCTTGCCTTCCTCAAGAATGCCTAGATGAAGGAACCAGTGCTGGTGTTGTCCTCTGTCTGGGCCTTTCTACAATCACGGTCATAGTCAGCCCTTACACCAAGTATGCCATCTTGATCAACAAGGTCATAAGATACAACTACCCAGTGCCTATGCAACATAATGAGAACATGCCTGCTATGCCCAGCCACCCCGAGGACTCTCAGGGCTCAAGACTGGAATGACTGAAGGACCTGTGAATACACCTGCTGATGAAAGAGACCCCCTTCCTTGTTGCTCCCCAAGGCAAATGTGCAAACCAACTCCCCCCAAATGAAAAGAAACCAGACTCTTCTCTCAAGAAATACGTCCCAACCACAGTTTTTCTCCTTCCACTCCTCCCAGTTTCCCTACATCGTCCGCTCCCCTGGATCCATTCCCATTCTGTCTCCTAGATGGAGAGAGCATATCTCCAAGAGATGACAACAAAACAAAATACAGTAAGAAAAGGTAAACACCCTCTCACTGAAACTGGACAAGGCAACCAAGAAGGAGGAAAGAAGTCATATGAAAAAAAAATTTTAATTTATCGCCAGGTGGTGGTGGCTCACAACTTTAATCCCAGCACTTTGGAGGTAGAGGCAGGTGGATCTATGAGTTCAAGGCCAGCCTGGTCTATAGAGTTCCAGGATGGCTGAGACCACACAGAGAAACCCCATCTCAAAAAAAAAACAAAAAAAGAAAATTATATTTTATGTGTATTGATTGGTGTTTTGCCTGCATGTATTTGTATGTATCAAATGTGTGCCTGGTATCTTCCAAAGAGGCCAGAAGAGGGCACCAGATCTCTTTAGGCCTTACAGTATAGGCTAATAATTTCATGGTTCACAGTAATGGTAGTTTTCTTTAAAACACATAGAGGTGAATACTCACCCAGCATACAGAACTACAGATTGGCTGGTGATACAGCTCAGTGGTAAAATGCAGTGTAAAAACCACAAGTTTTATCTTTAGTGCTGAAAAACATAATAAAAGCCAACAATAAGTACTATTGATCTGTCCAGTTCATACAATTAAGTCCTAATTGTAAAGTGAGCAAGAAAACTGAAAGCTGTTTTGAGGAAACAGAAGCAAAATCATTCCTAAGCATTTTAGGTGCCTAATATGAGGCGTGATTAGAGAAATACAAGCAAACAATGGTAGCAACAACAAAACAACACTTCCAGAGAGGAGCTTAGGGAGATGACTCTTTCGGTAAAGCACTTGCCTTGAAAGCATGTGGATTTAAAGTGGGAGCCCTGGAATCCGCTTTTAAAATCCAGGCTGATGCTCTGTCCAAGCCCATGGGAGGCCTGCCCATTACTGAATAGAGGTGGTGGCAGAGTGGAAGAGGAGGAAGATGGGAAGCTGGGGTCGGTATGTAAAATAAATGAAAAAAAAAGATGTTATTTAAATAAAATTAAACAAAAAGAGTACGTTTTAAAAAATCCAGGCTGGCAGCCCATTGCTGAGGAGGTGGGGGAAGGCTGGAGCTTGCTGGCTAGTCAGGCTAATTGAATTGGTGGGGGGCAGGTTCACTGGGAGACTCTGTCTCAAGACTTAAGTTGGAGAATGACCAAGAAGACACATGCTGTCTACTTCTGGCCTCCATAGGCACATATATACTGGAATGTACACATGCAATTCAATTTTATTTTTCACTTAATGAGGAAAGGCCCCTTATTCCCTGACAGGATATTTAAGCATCCTTAGCCTGTCTCTCTTGTTTAATCAATTTTTAAAATTAAGACAACCCTAATAAAAATATGGTAGTATAGCTGGGCAGTGGTAGTACACACCTTTGATCCCAGCACTCAGAAGGCAGAGGCAGGAGGATCTCTGTGAGTTTGAGGTCTACATAGCTAGTTCCGGGACAACTAGGGCTGTTCCACAGAGAAACCCTGTCTTGAACACCCTACCCCCCAAAACTACCCAAAACAAAAAACTACTTTCTCTCTCTCTCCATACATATATGAGCTTTTTATTTCTTTTTCTGGAGAGAGGCAATATTGCAGAAGTATCATGTTTTATACTGTACACCGTAGAGTGAAAGAAAACATGTAGTGGGAGAAATGTAGCACACATTAAAACACGCACAGGAGAGAGCCAGAGAGATGGCTCAGAAACAAAAAGCACTCGCTGCTCTTGCAAAAGACCCATGTTCAGTTCCTAGAATCCACATGGTGACTCACAACCATTCTTAAGTTCAAACCCAGGTGACCTGGCAAGAGCCTCGTCAATTGAAACAAAGTACAGGGTCTTCATCAGGGTTCGAATTTTACACGTTTTATTTTAATTTTCAAGTTTGTAAAGTATTGTAAACTTAGAAACTGGAAAGCATCTGTGCTAGAGTTTACTAGTAGCTCACTACGGCCAGAGCAGTACCTCCTCTGACCAATTAAATGAAGACTGTAACCCCAGAGGACTGACAGAGCCTCTCACGATTGGTGCGCATGTGCACACACAGCCAATCAGGAAGGGGCTTAGTGGAGCTCGGTTTTCTCGTTGTTACCCAGTATGCTTTGAGGTAACCACGAAGCGGAATTGTCGAGGAGCGGAATTGTCGAGGAAGACGCCTGGTAAGGAAGATTCACTGTGGAGGTAGTTAGTCACCTGTTGAGAGATTATTAACCCTGTGGTTTAGCCAAGCAGGGTGTGTGTAGGGGTGGGAGGGAGTACTTCAGATGCAAGGAAGGGAGGTGTCCCTCGCTGCAGTCCTTCCTCCCAGTTGACTTTACCCTTGGGCCTCTGAGGAGAAAAATGGAGGCGAAGGTTGGTGAGACCAGGAGCTTGCATGGGCTAGTACCTTGCAGAAGGCAGGAAGGCCTAGGGGATTGGAGACCCAGAGAGTCCGCCCCCTTGGGCATGAGGATGCTAGGTGTGAGTGGAGTGAAGGTCCGTCAGTTTCTAGAACCTTCTGCAGTGCTGTTGCCCATTGTGAATACATTAGAAACTGACTGCTTCTCGTATTTTTCCTCTACTTGGTGTTCCAAGGTCAGATTACTGACATTTGTAAATATAGCTCCCAAATGCCTCAAAATTCCGAGGCTCCTCCCTCAGCCTCAGAAATGCTGGAATACAGACAATAGTTCAGTCCAGGCTGTTTTTATTTATTTGTTCGTTAATGATAATTTTTTGTTCTGTTTTGTGAGATTTGTTTTGTTTTTCCACACGAGTTTCTCTGTGTAGCCCTGAGCTGTCCTGGAAATCTCTCTGTAGACCAGGCTGGCCTCGAACTCAGAGATCTACCTGCCTCTGCCTCCCGACTGCTATAACTAAAGGTGTGCGCAACTTCACCTGGGCAGGCTGTTTTTATTTATGTGATGTTTGGTTTGGGGATGTAGGGTCTTACTTTAACCTCAGGTTTGTCTGAAACCTCTTGTGCAGCTAGGACTGGCTTTGAAATTGAAGTCCCTGACCTGGACTTAGACCTGAAAAATCATGCCCATTTTTTAATTTATTTTTATTTTTATTTTTGCATTTTTGAGGATTGAGCAGAGCCTCTTTCTGTAGCACAGAAATACATCCCCAGCCCTGCGGAATTCTGTATCTTTGATTTACTTCAGATTCACATTGCTACGAAAAAATGCTTGTGATAATAACTACTATGAGATTGAGATACAGACACATTTGCTCAAATTTACCAAAAGGCTAGCAGAGAAGGGACAAAATTGTAGATCTTCCTATGACTAGGTGTAAACCCACTTGGGAGTCAGAGTTGAAGCCATCATTATGTTTTGTTAGTTTTTAGCTGACAAATGGATAATTGTTGACTTTTAGACTTATAAAATAAAGAAAACCAAAACATTTTATTCAACTACAATCACTTTTGTTAAACAAATGTACATATGGTTAAGATTATTAATAGCAATTTCTGAAAGCAGCTATTCTGTTAAATATTTAAATAGTAAGCCATTTAGTCTTAAAGCTAAAGGTAATAAAATTGTGGGTTATATTTAAATCTTTTGGGCAATTAAATGTTATTTTTATAAAATCATTCTTATTTAATATTTTATATTTTCAATTTTATCAGTTAAATAATTCTTTTAGATTCAGATGGTTTGAGAGACATTTCTGATTCAGATGGTTTGAGAGACTTTTCTTTTGTGTTTTAAATTAGAAAACACAAGTTTCTTTGTGAGAAGGAAGCATTTTGAGGATTCTGTGAAGCCACCAATGGAGATTCCTTGCGTAGTAATTGATGACGGTGATGAAGAGCAGGATGGGCATGTTTCACAAAGGGACATCTTTGAAGGTACCACATATTTAATGTTGAGCATCCATCTGTTTTGAACTTACTACATTTGTGTATTATTTATTTACTTGTTTTTATATTGTGACTGCAGTTCCACCCCCCTCTCCTCCCAGTCTCTCCCCCTCATATCTCCTCTCTTCCAGATCCACTACTCCTTTGCTTCTCTTAGAAAAGGGCAGCCCTCCCAGAGATATCGACCAAACATGGCATATCAAATTACAGCAAGACTAGGCACATCCCCCTCATAGTAAGTCTGTAGGAGTAAGGGTCCCATATACAGGCAAAAGAGTCAGAGACAGCCCCTGTTCCCATTGTCAGGAGCCCCACAAGAAGACCAAGCTACACAGCTGTAACACATATGCAGAGTGCCTAGGTCAATCCCAGGCGGGCTCCCTGGTTGTCAGTTTATTCTCTGTGAGCTCCTATGAGTCCAGGTTAGTTGATTCTGAGAGCTGCATTCTTGTGATGTCTTTGACCCCTCTGACTCATACCATCCTTCCTCTCTCTCCTTAGCAAGATTCCAAAACACCACTTAATGTTTGGCTGTGGGTCTCTGCATCTGTTTCCATCGGTTGCTAGGTGAAGCCTCTCTTCTTTGACTGTTGGGCTAGGCACCAAACTATGAGTATAGCAAAATATCATTAGGTGTCATTTCATTGACTTGACTTTTTCTTTTTGCTAGTCATGTTTGGTTCTATCCTAGATCTCTTGGCTATCCTGTCTCTGGGTCTTCACCCTCAGGGGTGAACTCCCTCTCATGGTATGAAATTATAGGAATGGCCAACCAGTGAGTGGAACTTTCTACATTTTAAACTGAGTAAAACTTTGGTTCTCAGTTGCTCTTCTTAAGCTTGTATCATAGATCTAAAAACTCAATCTCTTGTCTGTAATCACATGTAGATAAATAATCCATAACTTAGTATGACCTTGCCCAAAAAGGCTTAAAAACTTGTTTTCTTAAGATAACCATAAATCAATTGATTCTATATAACTTTCAGAGAAATTATAGATCAGATTTAAAGTCTAATGCTAGCAATATGCCTTGATTTAACATCTTGTTTTTATCACCAACACAGCACAGAAGCAAGTACCTGATAATCATGAGAGGGCAAAATCCAAAGAAATAGTTGGAGATACAGGGTAACATGTTCAAAATTATTATTTCCCGTTCAATTAAGTACTTCCAGAAAAGTTTAATTGATTGTCTAACAAGTAATCTATGTAAATACTTGTCATGTGATGTATATTTGAAAACAAGAATTCTACACTATGAATTCCTAATTTGAATGGTTTTTGAAAGGGGGTAGTGCTATGGATCAAACCATCATCTTCATGCATGTATGGCAAAAGTTGTAGCATTGAACTCTATCCCCAACAACTTACATTTTTTAAAATTTCATTTCTTCACAGAGCTCAAGTGCAGAGTATTCTGAAAAAATTTGGAGGTGCGTTTTTGGATATAAAATTTATTTTATTTTAAAGCATATGGTATATAATTTATATTATAGGACATATTAGTCAACATGCTATATGACTGTTTTTAATGTTTTGTTCCCTTATAGAATTTTGTATTTTTGCCTTAGCATCATGGATTTATTTTTTCCTATGGTATAGAAAGTGAAAATGGTGCGTGTGACATGCGACATTAGTGACATTTTATTCTTTGTGTGCTTATTTGTGTGGTGCATATGTACCCATGTATACATATGGAGGCTAGAGGACGATTTTAGTGTGTCCTGTTCTATTACTTTCCACTTTATTCCCTTGAGATAGGATCTCTCACCAAACCTGGAGCTAGACTGACAGCCAATAAGTCTTAGCACTCCCCTCTCTGGTTACCACAGTGCTACAATTACAGGAGCAAGTACCCATGGGTGCTGGATTCAAACTCAGGTCCTTATCCTTGCACAGCAAGCATTCATACCTACTAAACTATCTTCCCAGCTGCTTTGAAGTGATTTTAGAAGGAAAAAAAGATGCAAACATTTTTACAGTTCCATGTATTCATTAAGTGATATGTACATAAATTTCCATACACACAACAGTTTTTCATTAACTCTGTTAGTTTTCTATTAACACGGTTTATTTTCTAGGACACTTCTGTGTTTGTTTCTTTATAAGGGACAATGTAAACCTGAATCCCGTAATGTAACCCTTTATTACTATTTTTTAATTATATTTTATGTGTGTGGGCGATTTGTCTGGTACCCAAGGAGGCAGAAAAGGATATCCCCTGGAAGTATAGCTACAAGTTGTAAGACACATAATAGATGCTGGAAATCCAACCCCCATCCTCTTGGAGAACAACTAGTGCTCTTAGCTGCTGAATCATGTCTCCAATTCCCTCATTCAGTATTTTTATAAAATATATTATATAATTGAAAATGAAAGACATTTTTACTAGCCAGTGAGAGAATGTTAAATTATATGTCAAGTGATAGTTACATGAAATTTTCTAGAAGACAATACTTTTTATTTGAGATATGGTTTCACTACATAGTTCAGGCTGGCCTGAAATTTCCTGTGTAACTAGGTAGGCCTTTACACTGGAAAGCTGCTTAATCTTCCTAGACTGGGATTATAGGCCCAAAACATCATACATGGCTTAGGAAAAATGTTCTTATTTATTTTTTAGATTTATTTGTTTTATGCATATTAATGTTCTTCTTACATGTATGCATGTGTACCATATGTGTGCCTGCATAGAGGTCAGATGCCTGTGTCAGATCCCTTGAAACCGGAGTCACCAGTGAGCCACCATGTGAGTGTTGGGAACCAAACCTAGGTCCTGTACAAGAGCAGCAAGTGCTTTTTAGCTGCTGAGCTATCTCTCCAGCCCCAGAATCTGTGTGTGGGGGATGTTTTTAATTATTATTTGACTCTTTCATAGAGATTACCCATGTCATCAAATCTTTTTTGATAATTGAAAGATTTGCACTATTGGGAGTGGTAAAGTACTCATTTGTAATCTATTTTACATAGTATTATATATGTTGAAAATATTAAATGTGTATGCCATAATACAGCTTCATCCTACTTCCTGAAAACTAATTATGTATGTTAGATAAATACTAAATATTTTCTGAAGCATCACTATTTTGATGATCTGCTATACTTACTGATGAAATTGTTCTACAAAAATGTCTATGAAAAATCTACATTTTAAAGTAATTAATACCACTGATACTTATGCACATTACCTTTTTCCATTTTGTGTTTGTAAAATATAGATTTTTGATCCAGGCAATGGTGGCATATGCCTTTAATTCCATCACTTGGGAGGCAGAGGCAGGCAGATGTCTGTGAGTTCAAGGCCAGCCTGGTCTACAGAGCAAGTGCCAGGAGAGGCTCCAAAGCTACACAGAGAAGCCCTATCTCGAAAACCAAAATAAATAAACAAGTAAAAAGATAGATTCTGAAGTATAATTTACTGTGGGTTTTAGAAACAATTTTCTTACTAGAGTTTAAGTACACTTTGGGGATTCTTGTTTTGAATATAGTATTTTTAATCTATTTTTACAAGTATGGATGCTTTGCACGCAGGTATGTCTATGTGCCACATACATAAGTACCTGGTACCTGAAAGTTTGGAACAGGGCATCAGATCTGCTGAAACTGGAGTTGGAGATGGTTGTGAATATCATGTGGGTGCTGGGATGAAACCCTGGTCCTGGGAAAGAGTAGCCACTTTTAAACACTGATCCCCTCTCTAGCTGCCCTCTTGATTGGTTTTCCCCCTTGGGGTAGTGTTTTGTTTGATTTTTTCTGGGTTTGTTTATTTTTTTGGTTTTGGATTGTTTGTTTATTGGGTTTTGTTTTGTTGTTGTTTGTTTTGAGACAGGGCCTCGCTATGTAGCTTTGGCTATCCTGGAACTATGTAGACCAGGCTGCTCAAACTCAGAGATCTACCTGCCTCTGCCTCCCAAGTGCTGGGATTAAAATGTGAACCATCATGCCTGTCTGCCCTCTTGTTTTTAGTAGAATAGTTAAAATAATGAGTTCTAACAGTTCCACAGCTAAGTGTATTCTTTCCGTTGGACAATATAAGTTTAGAAAAATAGCCTTTATTAAAATGTTTTCTTATGAAGAAATTAAAAGTCCACCCTTGATCCTTTGTTTTTTGTATTTGCTCTTTTGAATACTGTTCCTGAATTTTAAAATTATCTTCATTTAGGGAAATCAAAATTGGAATAAGGTTGGACATGTCTTATCCAAAATACATGGAAGTTGAGGTTTCCGTATTTTGGAACATTTGCATAGACTTTACTGGTTGAGTATCCTTCATCTGAAAATAGAAAACCCTAAGTGTCCTAAAGTTTGAAACATTTAGTATACCATGTTGGTGATATATTTTAATTTAATTTTAAATTTCCTTGATATTATTGAATGAACTTTATATTTACTTACATTCATGGGAACAACTGAAGTTTCTTCAACATGCAACTTTATTTTCAATATAGATGACATTAATAAGGCTCTTCATGTGAAGAGAAAACACATGGAAACTTATGTCAAAGATTGTATCAAAGGCAGTAACCAGAAACTTAAACAAGTTTGGAAAATGAAAGCACGGGAAAGGTAGGGTTGATAGTTTTGTAGGATCACATTTGTATCATTTTTATAAATGTGTACTGGTGAAAATTAATTATAAATAGACAAACAGTTTTTGAGCTTTTGGTAAAAATATTTGACTTTAATTTTGCTTAAGCAGGTAACCCTATAACTTCATTGCCTCATGGTAAGTAGATATAATTCTTAGACATCAGTGAAAATTTCATTTTCTCCTTTTCAAAGTTGTTTTAATTCACTCTTGAAATACAGAAGTATTGTAAAAGTTTTGAAAAATTAATTTATGGTTAAATATGTTTGGCAATGTAAAAGGGATCAATTATATGTGTAAATAATTCATATATTTTAACTGACAAGTCTTGCACTGAATCTTAACTGTATCAAAATAGGAAAAATAAATTCCACCTTATATTTGGTAGGAAGTCATGAAAAAATAAACTACTTAGAAATACAATTAATTTTCTGGAAAATGGAGATATATGTTAAAACTCCCTTGATTTTTGAAGAGATAAAACATGAGAGAAGACTTCTCATAATCTGTTAGGATAAAAATGGTTTGCTATTGGATAATTTTCACACTGCTGTTTTTCTTTCTTTTTATGGTATGAAATGGCCAATTCAGTTTGTTTCGAGTGTTCTTTTCATACTGGTATGAATGTGACTTCTTTCGTTATTTTGTTTTACAGGAAGAAGATTAACAGCGAATTTTCTAAGCAGTGTATGACTGCATTTCAGCAGTGGGATATGGATATACAGAAATTAGATGAAGAACAAGAAAACTTAGCTGTTGGTATCATAATTAACTTTATAATTAACTTAGTATATGTATCAAGTAGGAATGGAGAGATTAACGTTTTATTAGACTCGTGGAACTAAGCTAGGCTTCATTATCCATCCTTGGCTTTGTTCTAGTCATGCTGAATTGTAACCCAGAATGAAAGCCATTGGACCTTTTATATTAGTTGAGATTTTAAAATTTCAAAAAGACATTCGTTAAAAGATGAAAAGGGGATTACCATTTTTCTATGAAAGGAATCACAATAGGTCAACCTCAGGTATAGTTGAAAGGGGATAGAGATGGGTAATTTACATCTGGACTCTATTGTTAATCTTAGAGGACTCACTCAAGATACTAAATCGGTTCTTACAGTCCTAAACTTAGTATAAATTTAGTAACAACAGTGAATGGAGACAGTCTTTCTTAATAGCCTGGCAGAATATTCCTGTGGAGGAACAAAAACAAATTATTTTGGATCGTTTCTCTATTACTGAACCAGCCACTATAGTCAGCACATGAGATACAGATATGAGATACTGATCATATTCAATAATTTTTGAGCTGATTGGAGTTTGGGACGTGTTCAATTTGAGATGCTCAGGAGATCCATTCCTGCCTGAAAGGTGTTGAGGAAGCCACTGGTATATGAGTCAGTTCAGGGGAGAGATTAAAGATACAAACCAAATACTCGGTTTGAGGACAGTTTTTAAAGCATGAAAACTGAATGAAACCACAAGTGTTCTAAGGATAGCCCCTGAAATACTTCAATACGTACAGTTTGGTTGGGGGGTGAGATGAAACTAGTAAAGGACTATACAGTTGGTAGAAAGTAAATTACCAGGATTGGAGAGTTGGCTCAGTGGTTAAAAGCACTGACTGCTCTTCCAGAGGGCCTGGGTTCCATTCCCAGCACCATATGGTTGTTCACAACTGTCTGTAACCCAGTTCTGGGGGACCGAAATATCAATTCACATAAAATAGAATGTCTTTAAAAAAAAAAAGAACATAAACTGTAACAAGTGAAGGGAAGCCTTTTAAAGAAGAAAAGACCACTAATTGTGTTATATGCTCCTAATGTCTCATGTAAGGTAAATTTATGGGACTAGGGAGATGATTTAGTTGGTAATTGTCCTCCTGTTCAGGCACAAGAACCTAGCATATGTTACCTGCATCCACATAAAAAGCTGTGTGATGGTGAGCATTTTCTAATTCCAAAAATGAGGTTTTGGTCAGAGATAAGATTCTCAGAGCTTCCTAGCCAGCCAGTCTAGCTTAATCAATGAGCTTTGGGTTTAATAAGAGATCCTGTCTCAGAAAAGTGGAGAGTAGCCAGGCGGTAGAGTCCCATGCCTTTAATCCCAGAACTTGGGAGACAGAGGTAGACATATGTCTGCAAGTTCAAGGCCAGCCTTGTCTAAACAGCCAGGGCTGTTACACACAGAAACCCTGTCTCGAAAAACAAGCAGATGAAAACAAAAAAAGAGAGCCAGGAGTTGGTGGCACACTCCTTTAATCCCAGCACTCGGGAGGCAGAGGCAGGTGGATCTCTGTGAGTTCGAGACAAAGCCTGGTCTACCGAGCAAGTTCCAGGACAAGCTCCAAAACAATACCAAGAAACCCTGTCTCAAAAAACCAAAAAAAAAAAAAAAACTGATCGTGGTGGGGCTGGAGACTTTGTCCAGGGATTAGGAGCACTGGCTGTTCTTCCAGAGGACTCTGGTTCAATTCCCAGCACCCACGTGGCATCTCACAGCTGTCTGTAAATCCAGTTCCAGGAGGTCTGGCATCCTCATACCAGTGCACATAAAATAAAGTTAAATAAATAATTTTTATAACTGATCACGTTGATAAGATAAAATAGGAATATCTTAGCCCTAAGAGAAAAAATATAAAAGGCTTGTTTTAATTTTTAAAAGTGCAAAATACCATGGTTGTGTGCCACATGAAAAATATAGAAACAAATTTATCTATAACTTCCCTGTGTTACTTGAGATTAGAACCTAGAGACTCGAACATAGTAGAGAATCAATCTACCACTAAGCTTTGTGCCCAGAAATCTTTCTACATTTTATTTTGAGACAGGGTATCTTTAAGTGATCAACACTATTCATGTAATGTGATCATTCTACCTCAATCTCTATAAAAGTTAGCATTGCAGGCATATGCTAACGGGCCCACCTAGAGTCACATTTCAAAATAACAGAATCATTGGACTCTTGAGAATAAATGAGACAGGCGAAGAAACTGGACTTAGTAAAGAACAAATATAAGGCATCCTTAAGAAAAGGAGAGAAAGTAGAGCACATATCATAGACAACTGAGTGGTAGATCCCGTGATTTGTGAACCATCTCTTGAGATTGCTTTGCTGTTTAGTAAAGTAAGGTTATCATGTGGTGAAAGTGTTTTAACACTAGCTAGAGTTAAGCTTTCTAGGCTTAGGATTTTGTCAAGTAAATGCCCGTAACCCGGGTACTTGGGAGGCTGAGGCCAATCTATTCAACATAGCAAACACCTTATCATAAAAAAATGTTTCCTACGCTGTGACTGGTAGGATAATTGTATTGCATGCTACTGTAAAAATATAAATTAAGTAAATTTTGTCATAATACTGTTTGAAATGCTAAATTAGTTGAAAAACTATTCCTTTTAAATTTTATATGGAATTATTTTTGCTCACATAAAAATTTTAGGATTCGAGATACGTAAGGGGTTGTTAGCCTAGCATTCATGTTGCACAATAAAAACAAAAATTAAACCAAATTGTTATGGTAATGCTTTCCTTTTATATTTGTAGAATAATTTTCAAAAACAACGAAAAGCTTTAAAACTCTCTAAAACTGATCAGAAACAGTCACTGCAAGCAATTAGAGAATTGCATGAAAAGTTCATGGAGGTATGTTGCACATGGTACATATTTTCTTATAAAACTATGTTTTATGAATCATGAAGTTTTAATTACTTATCATTTAGAATTATTTCTGACTGAAATTACTGATATATATATATATATGTAAAATCCTAATGGTTTTGTAGTAATTATTCAAGACATGAAATGTTAAATTGGGAATTCGACCTCAATTGTACTTCCTAGTTTACTAATACTTTAGTTATTCTGTGTAACTAAGCATAACAAGGCTGTATGTCATTTCTATAGTCTTTCTTTCACCCTTGTGTCCTTGGGATTTGTTTAGTAAGAAGTGCCTTTCTGTTTTAGAGTTTGGTGAACTTGGAGACGAACAACTATGTTCTGCTTACTAACGTAGAAGGTGAACTTAAAAAAGAAATTTCGGCATTTCAAAAAAACCTCACGAGGCAAACTCTAAAGTACTGTTTACCTTATAAAACTTCAGACTAATAGAAGCATGGGTAACAGTAAACTAAAAATGTGGAAGTTGTTTTTATCTCCTTCCATGACACACCAGCAGTGAGTGATTGCAGATGTTTGACTCTTCAGTTCTTATTCTGATGATTCTTTTAGGAAGAATTTGAACCTGAGTGATGAGATATAATTACAATGTTAGTTAGGAGGCATGTCTTTAGAAATAGTTTAAATTGTAATCGTTAATCGCTAACTTGTTTAAGTGCAATAGCCTCTTCATATTAACTTCCAGATAAAATCTAAATGACTATGTAAGTAGCAAATACTCCTTTGTACCAAACTTCCACACACTAGTGATTTTTTTCCTTTCTAATACTGTTAATGTTTATCAATAAAGATAATTTAAATTTATATATTGGCATCAGTGTTTTTTTAAATTGGGATTGTTATTCTTTTTTAAAATTTTTATTTTTAAATTTAAATTAGAAACAAGGTTGTTTCACATGTCGATCCCAGGTCCCTCTTCCTTTCCCTCCTCTCCTCCCCTGTCCTCTCTCCAGCCCACCAATACTCCCTCATTTGCCCAGGGAGGGTGAGGCCCTCCATGGGGGTGTCCAGGCATCAGTGTTTTATCAGTTCTCAAAGCTACGTGATACAAGTGTAGAAGTTTAAATGGGTTTGATTTTATTTGATTTTGAGATAGGCACTTATTATATTGTGTGTTGTCCGGGAGGGTCTATAATTTCTAGGCTCAAGATGATCTCAGTGTTCCATGTAGATGCTGTAAAGGGTATTGCCAACATACCTGGCTGACATTGTTCTTAAGGGAAAAAAATCCTACAAAATCTATCTTATAAACACTATATATTAACTAACTTAATACAGCCTGCTCTGAGAAATAAAAATGTTTCCTGTTTACTTATATCATTCATTAAAAGAATGTACATTTGTGTCTTGGAACAAACTAAACTGCTAACATGATTAATGCAACTGACAAAATTTATAAATATTGGCCTTTGCCTTCAGGTTAATGACACTTAATGATTAAGAATACTTCACATGTGTTAATTTTATTTCTCATTTAAAATATTCATAATTATACATAAAAGGAAATGAATTTTTTTACCAAATAACGAGTTTTAAACATTTCTTTGAAATCAGTCAGACTTACTGTTTTTCTCAGTTTCCCTTGAGTGAGATAGTCATTCACAGTAAGACATCAAGTGTTTCCTCCACTGCTGTTGATCTTGTTGTTTTGAGATAGGGTTTCTTGCTGAACCTGGCCACTTCAGCTCCGCTGGCACTTCAGCAAGCCCTGGCATCTGTCTGGCTCCGTTCCTCTAGGACTCAGGTTACAGATAAGTTCTGGAGCACTGTGCATTTACTGGGAGCAATTGGGATCTGAACTCAGGTCCTCATGCTTGTACAGCGAAAACTTTACCCAGTGAGCCAACTCCCTTGCCCCATGGAAATATTTTTAATGAACATTAAAAGTCTTGCCAATTTTTATAAAAATACTACCTTAATTTATGGCATGAACTACAAACTACAAACTTGCTTTTCTTTTCACAATAATGAATGTCTGTCTTTGCCCTTTGAGACACATACATCCACAACCTTGTTTCAGTAGCCATAGTATTATTCATTTAATGTACTCACCAGATTTCTTCAGACAAAGCCCTACCTTATAGAAATTTAAGTTATTCAAACTTCATTGTTAATTATACCATGCAGGCGAAAGTTCTAGGATGGCCAATATTGGATTAAGAAAATGTCAACTCAACTGCCAAGAAATAATTTTTAAAGAGAGAATGTGGACAAAGACTTGGAAATTTCTTGACTGAAGAAAAAACAAGTCATAAATATATAAATAACAAAATAACTACATATAGTTAATATATAACAGTAATGAATGGGTTAATAAACATCTCTGCTTGTGTTATTTTGGAAAACAGTGACTAAGGTAAGAAGTAAATGGCTTCTTTTAATGTTATGTAGCTGTCTCCTCAGAACTGAAACTTCCCTCCTGTAGGGAAAATGGAGGATCCAACAGCTGAGAACTAAATAAAACTTACAAGATTTGGGTAGCTGAGAAAGCTGTAAGGTTTGCAGGGGCCCTCCCAAAGGTTAGAAAAGAAGTAAACAAATGCTGGCTGAAGAGATTATCTGTTCAGTGGAGCCTGCCTGCAGTCCCAGAAGAAAGCTCCTGGGGACACAGCTTTTGTGAGTCAGCACTCATGCTGGGGTGGGCTTCTCTGCGAGGCAGCTGCATTTTTGAGTCACCCTGTTCCTGTAAGACTGGAGGGTATAGGGGGATGGGAACATGAGGGATCAGGATTGTAAAGTTGGGGGCAGGACGGAGTGGGAGAGTAATGAAAGAAATATCTTGATAGAAGGGGCCATTATGGGGTTAGGGAGAAACCTGGTAACAGGAAAACCCCTAGGAACCCACAAGGATGATTCCAGCTAAGACTCCTAGCAATAGTAGACAGGGTCCCTGAACTGGTCTTCTCCTGTAATCAGATTGGTGACCACCCTAATTGTCATTATAGAGCCTTCATCCAGTACCTGATGGAGGCTGATGCAGAGATCCAAGCACTGGGCTGAGATCTAGGAATCCAGTTGAAGAGAGGGTGAAGGGATTATATGAGCAAGCAAGCGTGTGTGTGTGTGTGTGTGTGTGTGTGTGTGTGTGTGTGTGTGTGTGTGTGTGTGTGTGAAGATCATGACTGGAAAACCACAGAGACAACTGACCTGAGCTCCTGGGAGCTCACTGACTCTAGACAGACAGTTAGGGAACTGGCCTGGGACCAACCTAGGCCCTCAACATCTGGGTGACAGTTGTGTAACTTGGTCTTTTGTGGGGGCCCCTAGCACTGAGACAAGGACCTGTCCCTGATGCATGAGCTGGCTATTTGGAACCTACTCCCTATTGTGGGATGCCTAGTTGAGCTTTGATGTAGAGGGGAGGAGCTTGGTCCTGCTTAGACTTGATATGACATCCTTTGTTAATTCCCATGGGAGGCCTAACCCCATTTGAATGGAGATGAAGATAGAGGAGGAGTGGATGGGGTGTAGGAGGGGGGGAGGGAACAGGAAGAGAGGAGGGAGGGGAAACTCTGGTTGGTATGCAAAATGAAAAAAAAACCCAAAGGAAATCATTGGTTCACAAGAGTAAACAGAACTGTTCTGTCACTGATGCCCTATCTGGAGTAAATAGGCAGCTAACTGGACCTGTTGTGAAAGTTTCTATTTGCACTCTTGCTATCTGTGGATAGGATGCATAGCCACTGTTAGCTACTACTGATCTGACCCTGCTTTGAGGGTCCAGCTCCCTCATTCTGTGTATTTACCTAATTCACTTGGGACAATACTTTATGTATCACACCCATATCTCATACCAAGGAAATGTCCAGGGAACCTGTGAGCATAACAAAATCACCTATTCCATCTGTAACATGGGACACACTATACATGTTTTAATGCACAGTACTCTCCAACAAAGGAATGATTGGTGGTTCAGAGCCATCCTCCAGGCCAAGGGACAAATGATCCAAAAGGTACAACTCTCTAACCTAGGAAAACCAGTGCGGATACTTTTATGTGTGTATGCAACCATAGTTTATGGCTGATCCACTTTGTTGAGACATTGAGAGGACTATGCTGGAAGTGGGAATACAGGCTAAATGTCACCAGCCCTCAATTCAGGCCAGATGCACCCCTAATGCCCATTTTCACTGTCCTAACTGGGTACATCTCATGAGCCACCTGGCAGGGAAAGTACAAAATAGTACTCCTGCAAAAGGAGGCTGCTGCATCTGACTGTCAACTAGGGACCTGGTAACCTTGTTAATTTCAGTATCCCCAGCCTAAGAAACCCCTGGCAGATTGGAGCAGAGCATGTGCATAGGGACTGTTGTGTTATAAGAGTTTCTATCATCCATAAAGCCAAATCCAGACCCTCCACACTTTTTAAGAGAAAATAAAAGGTAGCATACTTCCTATTCATGCAATAATAAGAAAGTGTTTTTGGTCCAGACAGAGACTATAGCCGGTCTATAAAGGTCTCTTTCTGGCCACGTATCTGAGGAAACTAATATGGAAGATCAGTGGCCTTAAGAGACTAATGAATTGAATCCCCGCAAGCCTTATAATGAGACAGGATACTCCAGTTCTGTTACCAGGGTTTGGTTCCTTAAAACTTCAATCATTGGAGGTGGGTGGGGTGGCACATGCCTTTAAGTCCATTACCCCAGAGGCAGAGGCCTCTGTGTGTTTGAGGCCAGCCCAGTCTACACAGGGAGTTCCAGGCTATCCAGAGCTACAAAACAAAGCGCTTTTTTTGGTTTTATTTTGTTTTTCAAGACAGGGTTTCTCTGTGTATCTCTGTAGACCAGGCTGTCCTGGAACTCAGAGAGATCTACCTGCCTCTGCCTCCTGAGTGCTGGCACTAAAGGCATGTGCCACCACCACCTAGCTCCAAACAAAATTAATTATTGGGAAAACTATCTTCCCTTCTGGAAATTAATCACTTCTTTTGGAAGCGTGGCATGCCTGGGCCAAAGTTTCTATAATGTACTCCTTTAAGCCAATCGTTTGCCCCTTGTCCTGTTTTTCTCATCTCTGATAAGCCTGGAGCAATGTCAATGCATATATCAAATGGCAGGCTGTAGGTGAATTATACTGGATATAACAGCCCAGATTATACTTCTCCCAAACTGACCAGGATCGTGTTTGGGGTCTACTGGTACACCTCTCTTCCTGCTCCCACTTACCAAAGGGGACCATTTGGGAGTCTTTCATTATTCAGAGACTGGGAGACTCAAAAGTAAATGGCATGCCCTACAGATTTGTCAACTAGAGAGATGATGGATGGGTGAGTGAAAAATCCATTATTATGGCCCAGTACTGGCAGAGGATGGTTCCTGAGGGTACCCTACTCCCATGTATATGTTAAACCATATTCCAAGAGTATAGGCTGCTGTTAAAATTATAACTAATAAAACTGCAAAAGCCCTTAATATACTGCTGTATAAGAGTTTCCTCAGAGGACTGAAACATTCCACCCTGCAGGAAGCTCCCTAAACAGGAAGGTAAACAACGCAAAAGAGCTTCAGGAAGCTCCTTAAACAGGGAGATAAACAACTCAAAGTAGTTCTAAGAAGTCCCCCAAACTGATTGCATTCACTAAGTCCCTCCCTGCCAGAGTAAAGAATAAAGTCCCTTTCAGATGAAAAGAAGCTGAGCTGCAAACCAGAGTCTCAGAGGAGCCCAGACCAGCTGCCTGGAAGAAGCAGAAACTTGCCTAGCTGGAAGAGGTTTTCACCAACGGAGGCACCTGGAAATGGCACTCACCAACCTGTTGAGCAGCCTGCAGGCTGTGCAGTGTGCTCCAGGTTCCTGGCCTTGTGAGCTGACACGCGGGCTGGGGTGGACTTTCGTGAGGCAGCGGTCTGCTCCTGTAAGTGACCCCTTACCTATATTCCTGTAAGTAACCCCAATAAAACCATTGGCTCACCAAATTGGACTTTGATAGTATCTGTAGTTTAGTCTGTCTTGGGCTCTTTATCTGGGGTGAATAGACATGTGTGTTTTATCTCCCCAGGAAACGTTTTTTTGTCACAACGCATAAAATAGCCATGCTATTTCAGTACTCAGTTTGCCACATTTTTTCCCTCAGCATAAGCACGTATACTCTGTTTGAAAAATCAAACAACAGAGTCAGTTCTGTCCTACATTGTGAATCCCGGGGTTTAAGCTCAGGTTATTAGTATGGTGGCAGATACCCACTGAATCATTTAGTCAACTTTAATCCTACCATGTTGAGTGCATGTAGCCCCAAATCTGCCTTTATTATTACAAATTATTGTTTACTGTGTGTGTGTCAGAACAATGATGAAATGGTTCTCCTTTTCTCCCACGTGAGTTCAGGGCTTGAACTCCACTTGTTGAGCAGGGGGCAAGAGACTTTTACAGAGGCAGGCAGATATCTGTGAGTTCGAGGCCAGCCTGGTCTAAAGAGCGAGTTCCAGGACAGCCTCCAAAACCACAGAGAAACCCTGTCTCAAAAAACAACAAAGCAAAGTAAACAAACAACAAGTGTCTTTTACTTGCTGAATCTTCTTGCCAGCCCTAATTTAACCATCTTGAATGCATACAAGAGAAAATGGCTTAAAAATTCAAATTGCGTGTTTATTTTCGTGTGCATTCTCATGCCACAGTGTACATATGTGGAGGTCAGAGAACAACGTGCAGAAGCTGACTCTCCCCCTCCACCCTTTGGATACTGGGGACCAAACTAAGGTCTTTGAGCTTGGCAGCAAGCACCAATACACACCGAGCCATCTTTTTTTGGGGGGGTTGTTGTTGTTGTTGTTTTTCGATACAGGGTTTCATTGTGTAGTCCTGTCTGTCCTGGAACAAGCTCTTTAGACCAGGCTGGCCTTGAACTCACAGAGATTGAGCCATCTTGATAACCCTTGAATGCATACAATCTACCACCTTGAATGCATGCAACAAAAAAAATTACTTTAATTTTTTTTTTTTGTGAGGGAAGCACGTGTCACTTGCCATTGCAAAGGCCTGGCAGTCAGAATAGAACTTCTGAGAGTTGGTACTTTCCTTCCACCACGTGGGTTCCGGGACTTTAGCTCAAGTCATCAGGTTTGTTGCAAGTGTCTTTTTATCTGCTCAGCCATCTGCCTAATTCCACCACGCTGAAAAATATAACCCAATATGCTTTTATTTATTCATATTCTGTGTGTTCGTATGCGGACACAAAGGCATATTGATGTTTGTGTGGCGGTAAGAGCACAACTTTCAGAAATCAATTCTGAATTTCCACTGTGTGGGTTCTAGACTCAAAATTAGGTTTAGTGGCAAGCCCGTTTACCCAATGAATCATCACGATGACCATACTTAAACTTTGAAGGCATACAACAAAATTTTTTAAACATTAATTTTTAAAAAAATAATTTTTAAAAAATTACATTTGTGTGCTCGGATGTGGGTTACGGTGGTGGGTTATGCGCACATGCTGTGACACACATATGAAAGTCAGAACAACTGGAGGAAATCGGTTCTTTCCACGGTGTGGGTTCCAGGCTTCAGCTTGGTAGCAAGTCTGTACTGACTGAATAGGGGTGGGGATGGCGGGGGTGGCGGAGGTGGTGGGGGAGGGTTGGTGGAGGGTGGCGGAGGAGGGGCTCCTTTACTAAATGAGCTCTTTAGTTAAAGATGGGAGTTGTGGGATTATTTGGTGTCTAGTAGTTATCTTTCATTGTGTTGCTCAAATGTTAGAAGGACAAACGCAATATCCTTAGGCTGAGAAATTAGAACAGAGACCTCCCCCTGTCACGAGGTCCCGGAAAGAGGACTGCAGAGCCTTTGGGCGTGGCTTTTGCTGGCTTCTGAGTTCCTGCAATTTGAGCGCCCCAGGGGGCGTACATCACTCCACACAGTACGGAGCAAGGCGTAAAAATCTTTGCTACTCCTCGTCATTCTCCACTTGGTGGCGTACCTGGACATCTTACACTTAGCCCTCACTGCTTCCTTCTTTTATTGGCCCTCCCTTGGTCACGAACAAACTTTTGGCTCCTCCCTGCCCCTCCTGCTCGCTCTTTTCTCCTCGTGTTCGCTGGTTCTGCCACGAAGATTTCTCCCGTCCTCCTTGCTTGGAGTTCTGGACTTTAAAGGTCCCAGAAAGATGTCAACACTTCTGTGGACCTTCTACGGCACAGACATCATGCGCAGGAACGAGATGTCTCTGGCCAACCCCAACCTGAATGGCACACTCTTCACCAATGGGGCAGCTCCTTCCAGCTCCAACTTCGCGCCTGGCTTCATCCCGCCGCCTTCATCCAGCAACCCCCAAGTGCTCGACCACCTGGCTCCGAGAGCCTTCAACTACACCGAAGGCTGCTCCTCCAGCTTCCTGAGAGGCGCTAACAGCTGTGGTAACGGCCAGTTGGGGGCGACCGGCTCGATCTCTCAAGGCGCTCCCCTGGAGCCCTCGGGTGCTTATGCAGTACGGCAGTTCCACCCGGAGAACAGCCAGCATAGCCTGCAGCAGCGGCCACCTCAGCAGCAGAAGGCAAGTAGCTCTAACTCCACAGTCACTTCGGAGCGCTACAAGACCGAGCTGTGTCGGCCCTTTGAGGAAAGCGGCATTTGCAGGTACGGCCACAAATGCCAGTTCGCGCATGGTTCCCGCGAGCTGCGTACCCTGTCGAGGCACCCCAAGTACAAGACTGAGCCTTGTCGCACCTTCCACAGCGTTGGCTTCTGCCCCTATGGCACTCGTTGCCACTTCATCCACAACCAGCAAGAGCATCAACCTGTGCTTTCTGGGAGCACCTCAGGGGAGCAGAGCTCCGCCAATGGTTGTGATGCGGGGCACTTGGGCTTGAACGGGGAGCCACAGCCGAGGCTGCAGACCGTCAGCTCTGCCAGCTCTTCCGGCTTACCATCGGGCCATAGCCATCCTCTTGAGGCGCCTGTGCTGGTCAACCAACCGACGATGAACTCAGGTATGCTTCTGCCGTCATCATACCCGGGGGCCACAGTCCCCTCGACATGCTGTGCCGCTGTGGCTGCGGCTTCTGAGGCTGCTTCTGCAGCTGCTGTGTTCTACCGCAATGGCGGAGTGCCGTGCACCACCTGTGCCAACAATACCTTCGCCTTCGGTCAGGGGATGGGTGGCTACATGGCGCCTATGACATTCCAGAACCAAAACTTGGCCGCAGCGAATGCCGCTGCCTACTATCACAGCCAGCAGCAGAGCCTGGCGGCTCCAGGGCAATTCCAGATGCCCATGGTCCGCCCTCCAGCCGCCGTCGCCCCCACGGCCGCCGCTGCCATTGCTCCAGGGGCTGCCTCTGCCACCTTTGCCACCCCTGGCACCACCGCAGCAGCTATAGCTGGCCCTGCTGGAACAGCAGCTGCTCACGCCACCTCCTCTGCCACGATCACTGACGCCACTGTTGCTGAAGGTTCTGCGCAGTACTTGAGCCTCCAGTTGCCAGATGCCCAGTCCGAGTCGCCAGAGTTCGATGTGCTCACCAGCAACCTGGATTCCCTGTTGGGCACCAACAGCTTTGACAACCTTTTGAGTTGCTCCTCGAGCTCCAGCAGCCCCAACGGCATCGAATCTCCCAGCGCTCAACCCAGTCGCCGCCTGCCTATCTTCAGTCGCCTCTCGGACTCTGATAAATGAGGCAAAAAGGTGTCAATGATGAGGAGAGACTATGCGGGGGTGTTGGGGGAAATCCTTTGCTTGTCTCTCACCTACTGAGTGCACTGGGGTCAGAGAGATGACAAAGCCACAGGCAGATTTGAGGGGCTCATTGAAAGCTTGCACTTAAACTCTGTTGGGAGAGACCCCATCCTTCTGTTTGAGTTTTCTTGTTTTGGTGTTTATTATTTTCATTGTTATTAGGGAGTTTAATTCTTGTTGAAAACAAAAGGCAAGAAACTTTTTGTGTTAAGCAATGAAGAGTTGTAATGCAGATAAAATAAACAAAAAACCCACATCCTTTTTAGGTCTCAATTCGAGACACTATGTAAAACAAATTAGTCTAGCACTCTCCTTTTTTCTCTCTTGAAAACCTTAATTACATCACAGATGTGGGAATTTGTACCTTGCAGTGAATGACTAATATTTGTCTCAGACCAGTGTCAGCAAACCAGCTGACAACCATCACCTTGCCATACTTTCAGAATCCAATAATTTGCCGTGAGTATGCCTTCCTAGTAATGCTCAGCTTCTCTGTTGTCTGTGGCTATTTTATTTTTGAAAATAATAAATGTCTTGGGGGTGAGAAACGCTTGCCTTCCAAAACTTGATAATGGCTTCGTTGCCACCACTTATGGATGAATGGCTTAGGAGCATTCTGTCTACTCTCTGGAAGCCTTGGGAAGAGATAAGTTTAAATTGTTTGAGAATAACTGCTTAAGTTTTATGTGTTTTGAGTTGATTTGCACTTATGTGCCACGAGTCAATATGAAGAAAACCATTTGTTTATAATCTAGTAAGAGTATATGCTTATAGTTCTGTTTGCGCTCTGATTATCTAGCTGATGAAAAGTAATACCTGCATTTTTTAATGTTACATTATGATTGCCATTATTAACTGGTAAAATGTAGAGTATATACTTTTCAAGGTCATATATATCTTTTGTAACCTCACTTAAATAATGAACAAAAATAGCTTATTAAATGCGTTCTTTCAAAGTTTCATACATGTATGTAGTGGTTCCGGTGATTCTTACCCCACCCCACTGCTTAGCTCTCTCCCAACCTGGTTCGTACCCCGACACACAGGTCCCTTTCCCGTGTTCTTGCCTTTTTGTTTGGCTTTGTGATTCAGTGAGTTTAACCAGGGTTATTTCTGTGGATACACATTTGATGATATTGACTCTCCCAACTTCAGACTCCTTCACTAGCTAATAGTACAGATCAAAGAAGTAAGACCCCCACAAACTCCCCCACCCATTACCTTAAGATGTTGTATCATTTCCTTCCATGCTTATATAAATTTCAAAATAACACATGATTTTTTAAAGAACATTATTTATTTGTAGACTGAGGATATGTGGAGGTCAGAAGACCACAAAGACTACTTCTGGGAATAAGTTTTCGCCTCCCACCACTTGAGTCTTGGGGATTGAACTCTGGTCATCGGGCTTGCCAGCAAGTGCCTTTACCCACTGTTAAATGAAGACAGCAAGCTTCTCTGCTCCATAAGTTTCTTGTGACTGCTAAATGAGATGGCTATGTCATCTGTTTCAGCTGTGGGTGACTTGTTCAAGTAAGAATGCAAATGTCTGTGGGCTGGAGAGATGGCTCAGTGGTTAGGAACACTGGCTGCTTTTCCCCAGGACCCTAATTCCATTCTCAACATGCATACAGTGGCTCCCAAAGGTTTGTAACTCTAGTTCCAGGAGAGCAAATGCCCTCTTCTGCCCTCCACTGGGACCAGACACACGGGATATACAGATATGCAGGCAGACCAAACAACCATACATATAAAATAATTTTAAAGTGCTAATGTTATGATCATTGCTGCTCAGGAAGCATTTTTATAAAATTTTTGGTTGGAGCGAGGATGGGATCTCACTTTGTAGCCTTCACTGATGTGGAACTCACTATGCAAACCAGGCTTCAAATGCCTAAAGCCCTACGTGTGTGTGTGTGTGTGTGTGTGTGTGTGTGTGTGTGTGTGTGTGTGTGTGTACAGAATCTTACCCTGTGTAGTTATGGCTGGCCAGGGACTCAATATGTAGACCAGACTGGCCTTGAACTTACAGAGATCTGCCTGCCTCTGCCCCCAAAATGTTGTGAATAAAGGCATGTACCAGCACACGTAGCCTGCCTGCTTCTAACAGAATGTGCTACCCCCAACTCCACCCCATCCTTGCCAACCAAGAAGTCTCTTTCAACTCCCAGTATACTATATACCAGTGATTCTCAGCTTGTGGGCAGTGACCCCTTTGGGTGATGAATGACCCCTTCACAGGGTTCACATATCAAATATCCTGCATATCAGATAATTACATTATGATTCATAACAGTAGCAAAATTAGACTTACAGAGTTTCAATGAAAATAAATTTCTGGCTGGGGGTTACTACAACATAAGATACTGTATGAAGGGGCCATAGCGTTAGGAACGTTGAGAACCACTGCTATACACATTCCTTATTTTCCATAGAAAATGCATAGCCATGGCTCTAGATTCATCAACATCCCTTTGGAAAGCACTAAAAGTTATGTGGTGATAAGAGGGTACATATGCAAATTTTTATTTTATTCTGTATAAGCATAATGGCAATGAGAATCTTTATGTAGAGTCTCCGTACGTGGAAAACAAGGAGAATGGCTCCTAAAGTAGTAGTATATATTTCATTAGAGTCTGTCCTCCACCTAAAAGAAGATAAAACTTGGTGCTCAAGGCTCAGATAATGTTGGCATCACAGGCATTGGTGCTGCTGAGTCATACACATGAATTATGAAGCCTTTTTGCTGACCCTCAGGGTTCAACCCTGTTTCTCTTCCTTGGCCCATCTTGTCACTGGTTACTTTTCAAGCCACTACATTCCACTCCCTGATCCCATAGGCTTGTAGCCATATCATAATGCAAAATGCACTCAGTACAACCGCAAAAATCCATATAGTTTTATAAAAGTCCAACATTCAAAGTCTCTTCTGAGACTCATGCAATCTCTTAACTATAACCCCATATAAAATCAAAAATCAAAAAAGTAGATCACATACTTCAAACATATAATGCACAGGATATACATTACCATACCAAAACATAGGGAAGGAAGCATAGTAAGAAAATACTGGACCAAAGAAAAGACTGAAAACCAGCAGAGCAACCCCCAAACTCTGCATCTCCATGCCTGATAGCAGAATGATTTTCACATCTCTAAGGCCTTTCAGCTTTGTTAACTTCAACACACTTCTCTCTTGGGCTGGTTCCATTCCCTGTTGGCAGCTCTTCCTGGCAGGTACCCCACGACTCTGACATCTCCAAATCTTGGGGTCACCAAGGCAATTCATACTTTAACTTCACAGCTTTACACAAAGACCTCTCTGGGCTCCCATGTAGGGACACCCTTACACATGCCTGACCTCAGTAGCTTTCCTTAGCCCAGGGGAGGGAATGTTCATAACCCATTTATTGTATCATTGGTTGTAAAGCCAGAACTACAAGCTGCCAAGTTGTTCTACTTGGTGGGGGTGGAACTTGGGCCCCTTCTTCAATTACATTCTGTTATTGATGGTTTCCTTCACTGCTTAAGCTTTTTCTTTAATTACTTTTCACAAGCTGGAAGATTAGCTGTGTGGGTGTCTTGCCCTGAGGTCACGACTCCCTTTCTTCCATTTAGCATCAGGTGTCTCTTTAAACATATCCTTGCGCACTGGGCAGCCATAGTTCAAGTCAGCCTCAACACTGTCTTCTAATACTTCTGCTATGAGGGTCCATTAAGCCCAATTTTCAGTGTTCAACCTCTTTTGCAGTCCAAAGTCCCAAAGTCTTCCATATGCCTCCAACAAACTGCATGATCAGGCCTATCACAGCAGTACCCTGATCCTTTGTACCAAGTTCTGTCTTTGTCACTGTTCTATTACTGTGAAGAGATATCATGACCACAGCAACTCTTATGAAAGAAAGCATTTAATTGGGGCTGACTTACAGTTTTAGAGGCTCAGTCCATTATGATGTTGGGAACATGGCAGCACTTAGGCAGACATGGTTCTGGAGAAGTATCTGAGGGTTCTACATCCTGATTCTCAAGCAATGGGAAGAGAGGACTAGACTTAGCATGGGTTTCTGAAACCCAAAAAAACCTATCCTCAGTGAAACACTTCCACCTACAAGCCTACGCCTACTCCAAGGCCACATCTTTTAGTCCTTCTCAAATGATGTCAATCCATGAAGATTAAGCATTCAAATATATGAGCTTATGGGGGCCATTATTACTCAAAACAACACAGCTCCTATGAAATTCTTCCAAATGACAAGTGGGTGGTCCACAGGACATATAAGAATTCTTCTAGGTCCTAGGAATACAATGATGGAAAAAAATGAATTCATTGACCATATAGATGGAGAACTAGCATCCAAGAGGAGAAATAAAGTATTCTTACATATCAATAAACTTTTTTTAATGTGTGACTTCCTGGTCAACAGAAGCAGCAATATCTGAAACGGCTTAGAAAACAATTTGGGATTTGCCAGAAAATGAATAGCATTTGTTGGCTTCCATTCCCAGCCCAGTGTTGTCCCTTTGTCTCAATAGTGTCATATTCAGCTGAATAGTTAAGTTATTTTACTAATTTGAAAACTTTTGAGAACTAAAGCTTTTTATGTTTTTATGCATGTGTGTGGGTAAGATGTCCTGCCAGTGGACAACTTGTGGGAAGTTCTTCCCTTCAGCTATGTAGGTTCCATGGACCACATTCAGATGATTAGGCTTGGCTACCAGCACTTTTACTTGTTGAACCGTTTCACATACTCTCATTTTTCTCTTTTAACACGAGAATCAACGATAATTTGAGAGCTGCAACAACTTCAATAGTGAGATAGGAGCCAGGGGCTCTGGGCTAGAGACAGGGATTCTGTAATCTGCCAAGGACAGCATAGACCCTAGAGACCAGGGCACAGCTTCTTATGCCCTTGCCGCCTCCTACTGAATGACTACTACTCTGAAATCTACTACAATATTTCTACAGAGACCTGCAAGATTCCCTACCTGTGGGACTTCACACCTTTTACCAGAAAGGCCAGAGACAATAGTAGCTTCTTACCCGCAAGCCACTACAAATTCATCAGGACCTGGTTGCTGGCTGGCTCTATCTACTTTAGTTAGCACATCATTCCTCTGGGTCTAAGCAACCAAGTGTCCATAAAAGCTGCACAGACTGTAGGCTTTAAGTTCTCATCACTAGCTATAAATACTCGTGTCATTCCTCTCCATGGTAATAACTCTTAACCAGTCTGATAATTGTCAACTACAAAGGTGGGGTGAGTATAGAGGACCTTAAGGAAATGGGGTTCAGCTCATGAAGGCCAACATCCTGGTACTAGTCTCATTCAAAGTTCCTTGGGTCATCTTTCCTTGGGCTCCACAGAAAGTAGGAAGTGGGAATCATGGTCAGTGGTGGCATCTGGTAGCATGAGGAGAAAACATGTTTTGGGCAGTGTGGAGAGCTGCGCCACACTGCACCTTAAAGATGGTGCCGGCTTCCGCCTTCCACCATCCCGGAGGTGAGTGCTCTCGGTAACAAACAACTCCTTATTTGGCGTGCTCCTATCCCGCCAGGGTCACGCCATGATCATCAGATTGCTTACACGCGCTGTTGCACCAATGGCTTATGCATATGTGGCCGTTCAGGGTTGGCTGGCCTCGGCTATTTAGGGAGCAGGAGGGGTTTCTCCCGCGGCTGCCTTTCCACTGTTCATCAAGGTCCTGAATAAACTGTCTGCAAGAAGGGTTCCTGAGTCGCGTCTTCTTTGCTGATCAAGGTGGTCATGACAACTGGTGGCCCGTACGGGGGTGGGCAATATACTAGGCTTTCTGCCTGCACCATCTGCCTTGCTTGACCCAAGAGGACATGACATCTGACTCAGCACCCCCCAGTTTCTCCTCTCTGTCCCTGCAATACAGGGTTGCTTGCAATGCACACCCAGGTGGCCAAGTGACCATTACAGAAATTTGGTTTCTCCATGT